CCAAAATAAAATATTTAGGTGGCGACTCTGTATCTGCAAAGTAGTCCATGTTTGGCACTTCTTTCTAAAAATCAATTTTTCAAAATGATTTGCCGGATTTGGACTCTTTGATGATTCATCGGTCTTGCATTGCACTCCGCGAGATTAGATACAGGACCGTGACATTGAGTCCAAAATGTAGTAAGCCCCAATAAACAAACAGGATTTTTCCCGGGACATTCTGGGACGTCTACACCACCTGACTAGTTACCTCTTTTAAAACACAATCGTTGCAAAAATGAGTTTATTTCATATTGGAATATGCAGCCAATGGTGAACTGCACAATGCGCTACAGAAGTGTATATGCTTCAGTGAAAGACGTGCTGCTACTGTGAGTGTCCATGTCATAGTTACTTCTTTCTTTTTTGTCATTTGGCTTACAATTCCTAGTATATCTTGAATCATGTTACTTTTTACTTCAAGAGGTCCTTTCCAGTTGAAACCCTAATAAAAAGTTACCATTGGTTCTTTTTCATCAAAGTCAAATAAATTTAGATTTTTTGCCTTGTATTGCACCATGAATGGGATCTGTATATTTTCAGATTCCATGGGCAACATTGTATTGACAATTTTAGTTTATTATCAAAACTGATTAAAAATTGTTGTTTTTGTTCATTGGGGATTGCAAACAGTATGTGGCATTACTAGCTCAAGCCCTTATCTATTGTCATGGAAAGCATGTCATACACAATGTAACGCCCTGAAAAAAATAACATTAAACCCATCAATATAAATATACATTTATATACAAAAGATCCACATTTCCTCAATTCATCAGAGTACTTCATTACAAAAGTGTTACACGTTAACAACAAAAGTAAATGCCCTACGGGTTTACAGCTTTCCAAGTTAACACTTGGTTACAAAAGAGAGTATTGACTCGGTTACACATTAAGCCCTTGGCTTGAATTTATATGTAATACATCAAAAGGAAAAAAATAAGGCAACAAAAGTAAGTTTGCCCCAAGCCTCCCAAGCTATGTCCTCAGAAGTGGCATGCTACCAGTACCTGAAAATGATGTTCCCATAAAGGGTGAGCCACAGCCCAGTAGAAATATACTAAACCGACTATGAACAATACCTAAAAGATTAGCAACTGATAGATGGTCGATACTTACACTTCCATTTACATCTTATTTCAATTCCATGACAACCAAGTCTACGCTACAATTCACTTTTCATTTCTTGTTCAACTTTGGGTTTGAAAACAGGGCTCAGTACTCTTACCAAAACATTTTGATGAGATTATAGTTCATCACTAGAACATTTTCAAAATTTACGGTGGATACACATTTTGGTGTTGTATCAATAACACATAAACTACGCCCATACTTCACAAATGATGATGATATACATTTTAGTGCTATATCAAATCAAACAAACTTCACTTCAGATAAGCATATGAGCTATATCACTACTACAACAGATAAGCATATGAGCTATATCACTACTACAACAGATAAGCATATGAGCTATATCACTACTACAACAGATAAGCATATGAGCTATATCACTACTACAACAGATAAGCATATGAGCTATATCACTACTACAACAGATAAGCATATGAGCTATATCACTACTACAACAGATAAGCATATGAGCTATATCACTACTACAACAGATAAGCATATGAGCTATATCACTACTACAACAGATAAGCATATGAGCTATATCACTACTACAACAGATAAGCATATGAGCTATATCACTACTACAACAGATAAGCATATGAGCTATATCACTACTACAACAGATAAGCATATGAGCTATATCACTACTACAACAGATAAGCATATGAGCTATATCACTACTACAACAGATAAGCATATGAGCTATATCACTACTACAACAGATAAGCATATGAGCTATATCACTACTACAACAGATAAGCATATGAGCTATATCACTACTACAACAGATAAGCATATGAGCTATATCACTACTACAACAGATAAGCATATGAGCTATATCACTACTACAACAGATAAGCATATGAGCTATAATAAAAGATTCGACTACACTCTTTAGTCCCATACATTCCCAATTTCAACATTTTCAATTCAATTCCTCGCTTTCTTCAATTAATTATATGCATTAATTAATTAAACCAATTAGGGCAAATTACCATAATTCACAAAACAACCCTAAGGTTCCTTTTCCATCAATGTCCCAACATTAATCTCATTTCTCTATGCCTAACATGCATATAGGTTTATATATTTAAAACCCCAACTTTTGTAAAATTACACAAAGGCACAAACTTTCTCGAAACTACCCAACAACCCCCAACATATCAAAATGCTAAAATTCAAAGACAAAACTCATAAGATGGAGTAGGTTATCCCTACCTCGAATGATGGGGCTCAACGAAGGAGACGAATAAACGAAAATGCTCCAAATCCCGAAATTTTCAGATTAGAAGATAGCCCTCGACGATCAACACAACTTTTGTAAAGGCCCAAGGTGAGAAAACAACTCCTACTAGATCAATCCTAAGAGAGAAGTTAGGGTTTTAGTGAGAGGAGCTCTCAAAATACCTTTTTGGAAAAGTAAGAGAGAGAAAAGATGTTGAAAAGTGAACAAAAAGGTCAGATCTCGGCTTTATATAAAAGTCGCCCCGCTCGAGCGTCGAACTCCCCGCTCGAGCGTCACTCACAGATCCCCGCTCGAGCGTCCAGTCCCCCGCTCGAGCGGCGGATGCACGCTCCCAGAACTTTTACAGACATGATGCCCGCTCGAGCGTCAAACTCCCCGCTCGAGCGTCAGAGACATACTCCCGCTTGAGCGTCCAATCCCCTGCTCGAGCGTATACCACTGCAGATGAAATACTGGATGGGTGATTTCCCCACTCGAGCGCCAACACCCCCGCTCGAGCGGACAAGCAACAACAGAGTCCCGCTCGAGCGTCAGAAGCGCCGCTCGAGCGGAGGGACCAAAAACTGGGCAAAGACTTTACGTTTTAAAACGCAACCAACTTATTCCCAACTTGCCCAACACAACCCCAAGCTCGAACACAAAGAGAAAGGGATAGAAAGAGGATAAGACAACAGCACCCTTACGAAATCGAATCCAGATTACAGTTAAGCACGAAAAGGAAAACCAGGATCGCTATAACCTCCCCCCCTTAAAGAATTTCGTCCCCGAAATTAAGGGTACGCCAAAACACAAGGCCAATTGATCACAGAGCATTCAACAACCGAGACCCAAGGAAAGAAATTACTTTCACAACAAACCTCTGACTCACTCTTACCAAGGAAGATACTAACCAAGGGAACACATTCTAAATGACCACACCTTAGGTACGCAAGCCTCAACAAACCAAACCTCCCCCGAAACAATTCACCAACAACCGACTAGCACCCCAAGCTAAGTCACTACTCAACAACACGACCAAAACAAATCTTCAGAGTAGATAATAAGAAAACATTTTCTTGTTCAAGAGGCATTTCTCAAAGATGTTTAAATTTTCAACGTTAACGTTCTGGAATAAATCTTGCATTTTCCATACGAAAACTCAAAAGCTTTGTAAACATTTTTCACAAATACGGTGTTACCCAAGATGCAGAGTCACCCACAGTTTATTTGCCAAAAGATTAATCTAGAATTCTCTAAAATCCTTGAATTTAAATCAACTTTTCAACAACGCCCTCAGATGGCTCAAACACTGGGAAAATTTTGTTTTCCATTTCTTTCCAAAACAGCACTACCCACAACCATCACTCACACAGTGATGCCACAACCGACACAGAATATAACATTTCTATAATGATGGTTAATAGAAATAACAACAGTACTAACAACACATAAGGCATAAGAAAATCATGGTTTTGCAATTTTCATCCTGCCTCCCTTTACTTAACCACTTTATAATCATAAACACGGCTCAGAAATACACAAATGATACACATTATAGTGCTGTATCAATATCAAACCAAACATCATACATACATAATGTATAAAAGCCAATCATTCACAATGATCAATCAATACATATATTTGATGTATTATTTCAACCGTCAGATTCAACGACAAAACATGTTCGATTAGTTTCAGTTTTCCCTAATCAACACACAAAGTCTACAACGAACGAGACTAAACTCAAGGTGACCAATGCCAACCCAAAACCTGATACCGACAAGCTGACTAGCAACTCAATAAACTTTACACTCAGTAATCCGCACACTGACGTGCCACTAAAACCACTAACCCCAACCACGGAGTTCTCTACACAAACCACAAATTTTGGAATCTCTCCGGATCTCCTAAAACTGAACCACATCAACACTGCGTCTAAGGGGATCGACATCCCCCACCATGGCTATCTAGCAAGCCTGCTCACTTCCTTGACCAAAGACCGACATGGTCACCCTCAATCACAACAACCCAAACACGAAGGACCACTTTGACCAACGCTATACTCATTACTTTAGAACACGAACTACTCTTCCTTCAAAGAATGCTGCCAGCATCCACTCACAACCCACCCAACGATTGATAACCAATCACAACACGAACGCTACCCCTATACAACCAATGGGGTCGCCACGGACTCACTGACTAGCAAGACCCAAAACACGAACCAACATACAGGTACCATTCCCACTAACTCGAGATACAAATCTCACATAATCTTGCCAACACCACGCAACTCTTGAAACCATCACATCTAAAACATTCAACTGTACTAGGCAAAACCTCCTTATTTTGCAAGCCCTCTCACTCCCACACCGAGTCCCCTAATAACTCATAGGGTCCACTCGTTACTCTACATCTTACTCGTCACTCATCTCGAGAGTACCATCAAGACACCCAGTCTCTGTGCCACACCACTAGCCAATGTTACCGCTAGATAACCACTATGAACCAATCCCGACACTGTTACAAGTCGCCGACAAGACTCTCAAAGATTCACTCTTCTAACTTTCCAGAGGAGTAAAAGTTCTCGCCTCCCTCCTCATTAACCCACATCTTCATCTGCAAACACCATACCACTGTGACTCCATCCACTGGTCACTCCCCAACCACGGGCTATATACCCAATTAACCCTTCTGATAACATCCTCTCGAGTTCACCCGACAATAGACCGAAATCTATACTACGCACAAAATTTTAAACGGGTAATACCCATGAAATTCCATACACTCGGCAAGTAAAACAGTTCTCGCTCCAATATTGCCTTGGCTAGGACACGCACCCCTCGGTGGTTCTTTCAAATTTTGAAAACATGGCTCCTCAGCCCTCATCTTTCCCAAATCAAGTCACACGCATAATAAAAAAAAAGCATTAACACCAAAAATTTTATGGTTTTACAGCAACTTTATACATTAATAAAACTTTAGAGCTACAACATGCTCCAATTCACCCATTCCAGGGAAATTAACAAACAAAGCACATATGTATACATATAGATAAACAAACAGTTTAGATGTTTCAACATTCCCAAAACACATTGGTTACAAAACGGAACCCAATGATCACAAAACAATAATCCACCGATTACAAAACAGATTAGTCAAAACAAAACCAACCCCTCGGTATTACCACCACTGCCGTCCCTCGCTGGACGCCAAAATTGGTCATCCCCAAACACAAGACAACCTATGAGCTTACTAACCATGGACAAGAACTACTGACGTGCCCCCTCTGTCCACACTTGGAACAACTACAAACTTCCCCAACAGGGGCTTGGGAACTCGACTCTACTGAGGCCCTCGCAATCTGGCCTGCTAGTCCCTCAAAACGATACTGTTCCTGCCCAGTCGAATGAAACTGAGCCTGGCTAGGTTGCAAAACCCCTAAAGAAGCCCCCGGCTGAGTACAGAAACGTCGAATGTGACCCGGCTGATTACACAACCAACAAGTAGGTGGTGCCTGAGCACGAGACTGGTTCAGAATCTGGGCTGATGAAGACCCCAACAACTGCCTCCCCACTGAGCGGTTGATCGGCCCAAAACCCGGCTGGTTAGATGATCCTGGTGGTACAGCCACTGGTTGAACTGCTAACCCTGGCCCCTTCCTCTGTGGGCAACCCGAAACCTTGTGGCCCAGTAGACCACATTTGAAACAAATGACACCCCTCTGTTTACGTTCTTCCGAACCCAAATCCGACACTAGAAGGGGAGTTCTAGCCCGACCTCTCTGTTGCGGGTTTAAACCCCTCTGCCTCTTAAAAGGCCTACCCACACCCTGAGTCACGGGAGTTGCCGAGATGGCTCCCTCCCCACTCTGCCCCATTGCTAGTACCGCAACCTCTACATGGGCAGCTGCCTCAACAAGCACACTATATCTTTTAAGCCAAGACCCCACTATCCTTACACGGATGTCGTCACGCAGCTTACTCTCAAACTCAAAACAGCGCAAGTCCTCCGTCTCCACCAATTCTGGAGCAAACCTCGACAGATTAGCAAACCACCTTTCGAACCGCACCAAAGGTGTAGTACCTTGGCGTAACTCCACAAACTGTTTCCGCAACTCTTCCCGAGCGGAAGGAGGGAAATCGCAACTTCCTCGCCTAGGCATCCTAGTAAAAGTAACAGAGACACATTAGCACACTCATACATGTGCCAAAGCTAAACACTCATGTCCTAATACATGGACAATTGCAATTCACTCCACGTAAGCACATAAACACATAAGCACTTACGAATTTCATTCTCGGATAATGATAGTCCCGAGGCGTTACTAGAGTTCCGGTTAGAAACAGCATTGATCAAGTGCCTTTCCAACAGGACTCCCAGAAACCCAAGGATCCAATCAACATCCTAGAAACTAAATCCCATACCCACATAGTCACACAAGCATGTTATCAATTCAGCACACAGCATATGACACTACATCTAAGTCTCTATCAAGCGAGACAAACCCATTGTAATCCTAATCACTTCCCACGTACCCAAAGTATTCGAACCCGGTACGCTCTGATACCAAGTTGTAACGCCCTCAAAAAAATAACATTAAACCCATCAATATAAATATACATTTATATACAAAAGATCCACATTTCCTCAATTCATCAGAGTACTTCATTACAAGAGTGTTACACGTTAACAACAAAAGTAACCCTACGGGCTTACAGCTTTCCAAGTTAACACTTGGTTACAAAAGAGAGTATTGACTCGGTTACACATTAAGCCCTTGGCTTGAATTTATATGTAATACATCAAAAGGAAAAAAATAAGGCAACAAAAGTAAGTTTGCCCCAAGCCTCCCAAGCTATGTCCTTAGAAGTGGCATGCTACCAGTACCTAAAAATGATGTTCCCATAAAGGGTGAGCCACAGCCCAGTAGAAATATACTAAACCGACTATGAACAATACCTAAAAGATTAGCAACTGATAGATGGTCGATACTTACACTTCCATTTACATCTGATTTCAATTCCATGACAACCAAGTCTACGCTACAATTCACTTTTCATTTCTTGTTCAACTTTGGGTTTGAAAACAGGGCTCAGTACTCTTACCAAAACATTTTGATGAGATTATAGTTCATCACTAGAACATTTTCAAAATTTACGATGGATACACATTTTGGTGTTGTATCAATAACACATAAACTACGCCCATACTTCACAAATGATGATGATATACATTTTAGTGCTATATCAAATCAAACAAACTTTTCAATAGATAAGCATATAAGCTATATCACTACTACAACAGATAAGCATATGAGCTATATCAATATTGCAATAGATAAGCATATGAGCGGTATCAACATTCCAATAGATAAGCATATGAGCTATATCAATACTACAACAGATAAGCATATGAGCTATATCAATACTACAACAGATAAGCATATGAGCTATATCAATACTACAACAGATAAGCATATGAGCTATATCAATACTACAACAGATAAGCATATGAGCTATATCAATACTACAACAGATAAGCATATGAGCTATATCAATACTACAACAGATAAGCATATGAGCTATATCAATACTACAACAGATAAGCATATGAGCTATATCAATACTACAACAGATAAGCATATGAGCTATATCAATACTACAACAGATAAGCATATGAGCTATATCAATACTACAACAGATAAGCATATGAGCTATATCAATACTACAACAGATAAGCATATGAGCTATATCAATACTACAACAGATAAGCATATGAGCTATATCAATACTACACGTTCCCAATTTCAACATTTTCAATTCAATTCCTCGTTTTCTTCAATTAATTATATGCATTAATTAATTAAACCAATTAGGGCAAATTACCATAATTCACAAAACAACCCTAAGGTTCCATTTCCATCAATGTCCCAACATTAATCTCATTTCTCTATGCCTAACATGCATATAGGTTTATATATTTAAAACCCCAACATTTGTAAAATTACACAGAGGCCCAAACTTTCTCAAAACTACCCAACAACCCCCAACATATCAAAATGCTAAAATTCAAAGACAAAGCTCATAAGATGGAGTAGGTTATCCCTACCTCGAATGATGGGGCTCAACGAAGGAGAAGAAGAAACGAAAATGCTCCAAATCCCGAAATTTTCAGATTAGAAGATAGCCCTCGACGATCAACACAACTTTTGTAAAGGCCCAAGGTGAGAAAACAACTCCTACTAGATCAATCCTAAGAGAGAAGTTAGGGTTTTAGTGAGAGGAGCTCTCAAAATACCTTTTTGGAAAAGTAAGAGAGAGAAAAGATGTTGAAAAGTGAACAAAAAGGTCGGATCTCGGCTTTATATAAAAGTCGCCCCACTCAAGCGTCACTCACAGATCCCCGCTCGAGCGTCTAGTCCCCCGCTCGAGTGGCGGATGCACGCTCCCAGAACTTTTACAGACATGATGCCCGCTCGAGCGTCAAACTCCCCGCTCGAGCGTCAGACACATACTCCCGCTCGAGCGTCCAATCCTCTGCTCGAGCGTATACCACTGCAGACGAAATACTGGATGGGTGATTTCCCCGCTCGAGCGCCAACACCCCCGCTCGAGCGGACAAGCAACAACAGAGTCCCGCTTGAGCGTTAGAAGCGCCGCTCGAGTGGAGGGACCAAAAACTGGGCAAAGACTTTACGTTTTAAAACGCAACCAACTTATTCCCAACTTGCCCAACACAACCCCAAGCTCGAACACAAAGAGAAAGGGATAGAAAGATGATAAGACAACAGCACCCTTACGAAATCGAATCCGGATTACAGTTAAGCACGAAAAGGAAAACCGGGATCGCTATACACAAAGATATTAAACCAGAGAATCTTTTGGTTGGTTCACAAGTAAGTAGCTTACATTTAGTTTTTTAATTGATAATAGAGGATAAACCTTGTGCTTATTTTTATCAACGTGGGATTTCTTTGTTAGGGGCAACTCAAAATTGCAGATTTTGGTCGATCAGTACACACTTTCAGCAGTAGGCAGACCATGTGTGGCACACTTGATTACCTTCCACCTGAGATGGGTATGTTTATCTGATCTGACATAGGATGCAACTGTTTAAACTATTTGCTATTCCTCTCTATAATTTATGTGTTTGAGTTTACAATGTGAAATGCAAGAAAAGTACCTCATTATAGCATATTGTAATCAACTGCCATGTATTGTTTTCTTTGCAGTGGAGAGTCTTGAGCACGATGCAAATGTAGATATATGGAGCCTTGGTGCCTTGTGCTACGAGTTCCTTTTATGGGGTTTCCTCCTTTTGAAGCAAAAGAACTCTCGGACACGTACAAAAGGTGAGCTTGGAATGCAAAGTGCATAAAGATGATTAGAGATGATTTAAAATTACCTCTGAAGTTAATTTTATGAACGAGTTTGTGTTGAATGAAATTATAAGATATTTTTAGTGTGAATTAATTTTAATCTTAGGGGTATGGCTTGCTTATTCTTTTTTGTACAGGATTATGCAAGTGGATTTGAAGTTCCCTATAAAGTAGGGGTGGGCGTGGGTCGGTTGCGACCACGAAACTTCCAATTCGCCATCCGTCCGCCGGATTGGCAGATTGGAGAAAATCAATCCGCATTTGTCCGCCAATCCGGCGGATGCGGATTGAGCAGATTAGCAAATGGATGCAAACTGGTTTGACAGTTTAAAAGTTTACAAATTTTTAACATAATTCAACATGTGCACTTCCTTCAAAAAAAAAAAAAAAAAAAAAAATTTGAAGTTCCCTACAAAGTAGGGGTGGGCGTGGGTCGGTTGCGACCACGGAACTTCCAATTCGCCATCCGTCCGCCGGATTGGCAGATTGGAGAAAATCAATCCGCATCTGTCTGCCAATCCGGCGGATGCGGATTGAGCAGATTAGCAAATGGATGCAAATTGGTTTGACAGTTTAAAAGTTTACAAATTTTTAACATAATTCAACATGTGCACTTCCTTCAAAAAAAAAAAAAAAAAAAAACACAAACATGTGCACTTCCTTCCTCAACCACCACCTGTGTGCAATGCATATACAAACACTGTGCAATGGGCAAACATTATGCATGAAATAAACACAGATACAAATTCTGTTGACCACAATCAAATAAATTGCCAAAAATCAATAAAAAATCATTCAAAATAGGTCATCCTATATAGGTCATATGGGAAAAAACACAAATACAAATTCTGTTGACCATAATCAAATATTTCAGTCACAAGGCTATTATCAAATTTTGTTGATGAGGGCATTAAATGGTAGGCTTGTGTATGGTCAACCACAATCAAATATTTCAGCCACAAGGCCATTATCATATATTATCCAAACTATCTAATAAAACATGAGGGATTGTCACACTAACAACAAAGACCAAAGGAAAAAAAACAAAAAAAGAAAAGAAAAGAAAAAGACTTGCAGAGAACAGAGAGCATTGCAAACTTTCAGCCATGGGTAATATGTGATATTGGGATTGTTGTTGCTATTTTATAATAAAAACTCAACAAAAAAAGAAAAAGAAAAAGAAAAGAAGTAGAAAGATTTGCAGTGAACAGAGAGCATTGCAGACTTTCAGCCATGGATAATATGTGATTTTGGGCTTGTTGTGTTGCTATTTTATAAATAAAAACTCAAGAAAAAAAAAAAAGACTTGCAGAAAACAAAGAGCATTGCAGACTTTCAACCACGGATAATATGTGATTTTGGGCTTGTTGTGTTGCTATTTTATAAATAAAACCTCAAATACTGTGTAGGTCATTGTTGGCTTCAAAATCTAATATATTAAAAGACTAACAATAAAATTTTCAATGGTTCAAACTCAAAATCACATGACAGATATATGA